ATACCATTGGGGATGGAAACTTCAAAAGAGTATTAAAAGTTCCTTTGTTTAACAAATGTCTACATTCGCAACCACAGCGGCATGGGAATACGGCTAACGCCCACACTTGTGCACCAGACACACGCACACTCATCGACAAGCACACACAAACGCACGTGCATTAATGCATGTACTGTCACCAGCAAGCACTCTCATACTCATTGCTTATCACAGATTACTCCTGCACAGTTCTCACGCTGAGAAGTAATGGAAATAACCCATTCTTTAGCCAGCACCCCACTGATGCATGACAGTGTCTTGGCATTCTATTAATACCAGCTTCGCTCTGTTTGTAAATGCTCTGCTGATTACGTTGTTTCTATATGTATAAATATATATATAGCAAATGTGTCATGGTCAAAAGGTAATTTTCCAGGCACCAAAATTCATAGGCAACATAAACATAACCATGCCCATCTTTTCTGCATTTGCAACTTCGTCCAACACGCCCCCTGAATAAACACCACATTTTACCGTGTTCACACAGGAGAGACATTGAAATGAGTTTAAAATTACCTCTCCTGGTATACAGGAGGCCATGAGCTCGATTCCGCCTCTGACGTCTGCTGTATATATGGAGATTGCATGCTCTCCCTGTAGTCACGTGGATTTTTCTCCGGGTCCTCCGGTTTTCCCTTCCACACTTAGAATCAGCGTCACGCATTTAGAGCATTTAGTTGCTCTAAATGTCCACGTGATGATAATCCACTTCGTTGAGCTATCATTGGTGGCCAGGCCGCTACTGAAAAAGAGGTATTCAGCTCATTGGGCCTTACCTAGTAAAATATAAATAGTAGTTCAGTTTCAATAGTTTAGATGGACTTTGGAGGGTCTGTGTTTCATGTTCAAAGGTAGACAACCACTCCGGTCGTAACACAGGTGAGTGTACTAGATGCACATACAACAACAAACAATTGTTTAAATAGCATTAATCTATGAGAAAGATTAGAAACAATACACGTGCCATGCTAAAACTACTAAAACCAATTTGAATTCGTGGGGCACAGCATTTTAAGTGAATGTAAATGTGTGTTAACATTTACAAATTTTCTTACAAAGAACAACCATCAAATATGATTTTCCAATTAAAGATAAAGAGCATACAGAATATTTGGTAATGACAATGTGTTATAACGGGTCATACAAAACATTTTAATGAGGAACTGGTTAACTATAAGCACCCTACAATGCAACTTAATTTGCAGCCTCGAGATTGCACAGGGAACCATGGAACTTATTAGCTTAACAAATAAAGTGCAATTGAAAAACTAAACAATACAAAAACTTCTGAGTGTAACAAATTGGTCTAATTTAACGCCTCAGTGAGATTTTTTTAACAGCATTACTGTGCAACTAAATTCTCCTCTTACATCTCCAAAAGGGCAGGTGGTTTCAAATCAGATCTATTAACTTTGTACGACACAACGACTGTGTTCATCTCAAGTCAAACGTGACACGATAGTTGGTTGCATGCGAGAGGCTGCGGACCGTCAGATAATAATAATAATACTACCGTACGCGACAGTGCCGTCAGATAACGGGGCCTAGGACAAACACGGCGAGTCTACGATTAAAGTCCCATTTCAAAATGACAAATAGGAGGGTCTGCAAGGTCAAGTTTGTCAGAAAATGAGGATAGATATAAAGCATGGGGGGTATAGTGTAGAAATAAAGGCATTCCGTGGCAACTGTGTCCTAGACTGACCTTTGTGCTGGACCAAAATTAACAAGTTATGCCGACTCTGATCGAGTTGGTCTTCTGTGGCCCATTCGCTATAACACAGCAGTAGTAGTGCTCCGATACGTGTGCCATTGTCTCTGTATTGCTCGACTTTTGGCGTTCTCTGGTCTAACACTGGTAGTGCGACAAGGCCATGCAGAATGCTGTCTCTAGTGTAGGGCAATCAGTTTCAAAGGCAATGTGTATATAATTACTGTGTAACAAAAACATATTTTATTTGTTCCTGGGCAGTAAGTTGTATTTTCAAATTGCTTATGCCTCAAAAGTACAGAAAACGGCTATTATTCCCCACAAACTTTGCTTTTGTGACCAGGACACAAAAGCAAAGTTAATCATCTCCTCCATTAATAACACTGTGTAACAAATATTTTGAAAATTGACTTATTTTCAATGAGAAAACGTGCGCATTTGTGTCATTCATTCACACAAAGTCTTGGTCACAAAAGCAAAGTTTGTGGAGAATAATAGCCATTTTCTGTACTTGTGAGGCATAAGCAATTCGAAATTAACACTTACTACCCAGGAACTAAAATCGTGTTACATTGTGAATTATCAGAGCACGTTTGCCTGTTTTGCCACAAGTACGTGTGGTTAATGCAGACGTGATGCCTTGTAATAGGTATCTATTTAGTGTTTGAACATCTTAACACCTGATTTATTGCCAGAAAGGGTAAAACCTGTTCTTATTTTTCATCATTCTTGATAATGGCAAAAAGGTCCCATAGATACAGCGATAGTCCGCTCGCTATGTCTTATCATGATTGTAATCCATTCGCTGGAAACATTAGCATCTTTGAAAATAATCATGGCAAATGAATGTACATGTTCAATGCTGGAACATATCATTGTTAATATAAGCATTTTAGCAGACTTACAGGCAGCAATAAAATGCAAGTTGCTGGAGTGGATATCACCGAAGGAATAATAGGATTGTAGCAATTAGGTGGTAAATTATTGGTGCGGTTTTATCGGAATGCGTTAATGTGTTATTGACTTATACGTGCAGACCATTTGTTGTATCGATGAACTTGTGATTTAATGGTATTTTAATGGTGCGATATTCCATCCGACCATTTCATTTTTGAATGAACGCTACACGTATGCCAAAAAAAACACACGACATCACCAATGTATTCCACTGACAATAATGAAAAAGGGCACAACTGCATTTCGGAAACAAAATTCGGAAGCGTGAAGAAATAACAAGACTCCATGGGATTCATCAGCAGCTATCAGTCCAGCATCGTCACACAAGTGCACAGAATCTGTACATCGATGGGCCCTTAAAGGGCCACTCTCCTCAGAACCACCGCTTTTGTGTGATTTCAGCATCCAAGAGACACATCGGGCTGCCTAGCGGGTCCAGTTAGCAACGTCACGGAGCTCCATATCACCTCGGAACCCTCTCCCAACTCATGATCCACAACACTCTGGGCCATCCTTTAATGAGATTCCTTCCCTTTAATGTGGCTCCCCCACTGGTGCAAATGCCGTTCGTTTCTGTTTTAATGGATTGCGTATACACAGTGCACAAACTATATGCACATTGCATTATTCAACTCGGTGTAACACATATGCCGGGGGAGTGCCATTGCCGTGTGAATGTCTGTGCTGGGCGTCGGCATCTCAACACGCACGGCAGACCTCACTGTCCCGGCTCGCTTGCGATCTTACATTTCTCATCGGCATTGTAGTTGCCCTGTGATATCGGTTTCTAGTGTTTTGAACTAAGCGTCGTACACTTAAGGTTCGTATGAATAATATATTTGTGCAATTCACCTCGCACTTTACATGGGGTCACATCGAAAGTCCAAGTGTTGCCCTTAGCCTGATCAAGCGATCGTGAGGTCGTGCCCTTCTCCACTCGCAGCCCAAAGCCAACGGCAGAAATTCCACATTCCTCTGATGGGGAACAGTATTCTGAGCAGTATTTTTTTTAAGTTGACTTACCTATTTTTTTTTTATACTGACCAACAAATCTCTATTTTCCAATAAAACAAACTGTGGCCAATGTGTAAGCGTATTCCGTCATGATCATTTTGTTCCGTGAATAAATAACAAAAAATGTGATTGGAGATTAAATATGCGTTAGATGTGTACAGCCATCGGGTACAACAAACGTCAGAAGTGTGGGCGATGACAAGGCGACACCAGTGTAAGAGATGCCACGCGACCGGTGAGTAGCCGGCCAGCAAACACGGGGTCCACATGCGTGTGTGGGATCACTGCCCTGTGACGTGGCTATAGCGAACGACACGCGTAACGGGGAACAACTCGGAGGAAGCGTTGATCCAGCAATAGACTGAAACTGACCATTGATGATATGCTTAGTTCTAATTCCTTGGTTACTGCTGACATAACTCTCTGACATTTCCAAAAGACGCAGTTAACCGTCGTTGGATTAATTAACATTAACGATATATTTATTTGATCAGAGAGAAAAAAAAATCACTAAATCTCACGGCACTCTTGCTTTGGGTCACTTGGTCAAATGCATTTTTAAAGCCAACGTCTGCTACGTGGAGGACCGGGTTACCAGCAGGAAACCCAATGTGTGCGAGGGGACAACACTTACCTTCCACACAGGTCAGGAATATAGTCAGTCACAAACTTGATTTCCATAATCATATTCGTCGTTATTCATACAAAAAATAATTACATACATCTCTTCACTCGGTGTAAAGAAGGACTAAACCATTGGTTTGATCTCCAGATAAGGTGAAGGTGGATAACCATACATGACATGGGGATGTGGAAATCATCGGAACAGTCATCACAAACGTTAACTAGTAGTGGCTGCACTCTGGAAGTAGGTGGTAACTCCATCACCTTGCCACCAGTGATTTATCTGGCTCACAGTCTCCATCAGCCATGAAGAGACGTTCAACTGGCGATCTAAACTCGCGCTGTAGCCACAGCGCACCTCAATAACTCAAATCTGTACGTGATGAAAAAACCCATCACACCAGAGGTCATACTGTAGCAGCAAACATTGATGACCATGCTGTACCGATGAGTCCTAATGATGATGAAGCCGTTGTGTCCTTTTGTCTCACTGCTGGTTGAGACGGCCACATTTCCCCAACTCTTCAGGGTCGGTGGTCTCAACGAAAACGAGGCCACACATTCAGTTCCCTTTGAACCGGTGGTGTGGACAAGGCCGAGAAGCTGTTTGTACACGCGATGATGCTCTGTCGCGTTATTCAATCTGTCGTCGTACCTCAAAACAGAAGTCCTGGCCCAGGATGCTGCTGTGCACGGGCCGGATGGTGACCTCGTCCTCGAGGCTCAGGTCCAGCGCCTCCACCGCGTTGCTGGGGCTCAGCAGCGACTCGTGGGAGCGCGACGACTTCAGTCGCGGTGGCGCCGCGTTGGACCGGTTACTGTGCACATCACGACGACACAACCACGACCGCCATCACCATTACCACCACGACAACGCTGCTCAGCGGCCACAGATGTAAGCCGCGGTGGTGCCGCGTTGAACCGGTTGCTGCGCACATCACGACGACACAACCACCATCACCACCACCGTGACGACGTTTCTCAACGCCCACGGATGTAGTAAGACTTTCGCTGTGGCTAAAACCTCGTGAAATAATGGACATTTGTGAAAAAGAGCTTCATAGCTCATCGGATTCCTCCAGTATAAATATTCTGATTATGATTATCTGCAGCTCACTCCGAGATGCAGAGAAACAGTGGGGCTCATGGGTAGTGGGCAGGGGAAAGCAAGGTGGCCGAGGTGACCACGGAGTGCACAGAATGCCCGCCCCAAGAACTCTCTCTGCGTCACGTTCCGTGACCCAAATGGGAATTGCTAATCGTTCAGATTAACTCGGCGACCGGTGAGTGGCAGTGGCATGGACACAGAGAAACCACCGCCACCACCACATTACTCAACAGCCACAGACAAGTGTGCACAACATAAACCACTGGTGCAATTGAAGTTTGTCACATTCGAAAGTTACTCGCAATTAACTCAATTGGAACCATACATAGCAATCATCGGCCCTCCTTTCTGGTCGACTGAGGTCCATTTGCAGGCCAGGTGCTGTGTCACCATGTGCCGTGCAGGGACAGCTCCCGCGGGGGGTGCTCTTTCAAAATGTTTGAGATAAGATGCGATGTAAAGTGGTTAGAGATTATCAATGTTCAATATCCATCACCCGCCCACAACAAGGAGGCATGTGTAATTCATACTTATATATCCTCCACAACGTCGCAAAACATTGATCATATGTATGGCTCTTGCTAAGCATTAACCCAACATTTCTTAAACGTGTACCCTGAAAACATTATTATATTTGTACACGCTCACCCACTTTCCTTGAAGGCAGTCGTTCCTGCAACGAGCGAGCCATCCATGAAATGTACTGCTGCTAGTAATGATTTCATACCGTTTTGGTATTTAAAATGATTGCCACCGATATTTTTTTCCATTCCACAACGGTAACCGGGCGAATGTACAAGCAGCACATCTAATTTGCCGACAGCGTTGAACTTGTGCATCTGGATGGCGGGTATCGTCGTCTGACAACAAGGCCTAAAAAAAAAAAAGATAATCAATTTATAATTACGGGGCTTTCGTGATTCGGTCAGGAAATTTGGTGGCAGAATTCACGCTAGGTTAGCAGAGGTCACGCCGTAAGGGTCACAAGCGCTCCCTCCATTCAACGGGGCTGGCGCTTTCAGCTGCTCGTCTATTTTATTGCCACTTTATTTTAGTGTCAGATAAAACAGTTCAATATACGATATAAGAAGCAGCATTGAAGAAAATGCTCCAAAAAAGATATATGCTTAAAACAAATTACATCTACTGTGTATTGGCTATGACAATTTTAATGTTTACACGACCGCAGCAGGGCAGTAGGTATACAGCACATATCAGGTCGTGTCATTGCAATTTGGATTAATGGAGCATTACATGAAGTTACTCTCCCATTTCTCATTAATGGCACCCACTTGAATATAAACAGCAATCGTCAGTTTAACGTACAATCGCACATGCCAAGTACCTGCGATTTTGAATTTAAAAGAAGCGGAAGACACAAAGGTAATATGGAGTAAGGCAAACATAATCATTCTTGACGGTAGGCTTATTTGCTGGAATTGATTTTTATTGGGTTATTTTTTTCAAGTGGGGAAAAGGCAAAACCTCTGGGAGTAAACAGCAATATCAGGCTGGGGGTCACTTTGAGAGGGTGCTGCACTGACAGCGAGAAGGATGCAAATTCGACTCCCGGTCAGTGGTTGCTTCGGCCCATTAGTCCCAATGTGGATGAAACCATTCTATGGTTTTGTCTTTGTCTCGGTCTGTACGGATGAAACGGAGAACCTAAGCCAGGTTCTCTGTTTCACTGCTGCCAGTTGTGACGGCCACTTTTCCTCCACTCTTTTCAGTTGTTTGTCCACGTGACAACATGGGTACACATTCAGTTATTTTGAGCTGGTGGTCTGCATGAGACTGACAGCTCATGCACATGCAATGCACACCTCTGTGTGTTGTTAAATCTAAGCCTTCCGAGTATGATGGTGTGAGGTGAAAGGTACTTGAGAAGCGAATGGGCCCCACCAAAACGATGTGTAAATTACCACCACCGACTCAGCGCTGCCGATATAAATGAGCACTGAACCCAATGCTGACTTGAGCATTTGGACACTGTAACTCTGAATCATTATAAAGCACGACTATCCTTCGCGTGGTTGGAATGTTTGCTTTTAATCTGGTTCACACAGGGTCAGCGGTTACATTCCACCAAACTCCCAGCCATGCTGTGGGACATTAGCAAAACAAACCGTCAGACGTGAAGTGGATGCGAAACACCTTGCCATCTTGTGACCGTATTTGCAAAGGCAAATAATTAAGTGCCAATGTCAGAGCCTAAAAATCCCTTATTTGCCACACAATTACAATATAAGTATGATGATATAGCATCTAAATGGAACTGCATCTCTAGACATTGATTTTAAACATTATCTTCAACTGAACTGAAATCCAAAACCAGCTATTATTATCCCGACCTAACAACGGTCATCTGGATCACCCTTGCAGAAAATAGATTTTCCTATCAATACTATCTCACTCGGTTCCAAATCAAGATAGATTAATTCATTATGTAGTCATATCTCATCCAAACGCCCCACCACATTTTACATTATACGCATGCATAGATTAATGATGCATAAATAATAAAATAATAATGTTATAATGGAATTTCTCCTGCCGGAAAGTATGGTAATAAAATTATTGACGGAGGGAAGGTACTATAATAGTTTAAACCAGATTGTGGCAAAGTGATACTGTGCAAGCCCAATCATTGGTACCACTGGCACACGTGTTCTGCACGAACAACATCGCATCCCTCGCCTGAGGAATGGTCAGCCATGGTGAAGCAAATCCCTGGGAGGCAGGCACTGCCTTGGGTGTGACACTGCCTTGGGTGTGTCACTGCCTTGGGTGTGTCACTGCCTAGAGAGTGACACACTGCCTTGGGTGTGACACTGCTTTGGGTGTGTGACACACTGCCTTGGGTGTGACACACTGCCTTGGGGGTGACACTGCTTTGGGTGTGTGACACACTGCCTTGCGTGTGACACACTGCCTTGGGTGTGTGACACACTGCCTTGGGTGTGACACACTGCCTTGGGTGTGACACACTGCCTTGGGTGTGTGACACACTGCCTTGGGTGTGTGACACACTGTCTTGGGAGTGACACACTGCCTTGGGTGTGACACACTGCCTTGGGTGTGTGACACACTGCCTTGGGTGTGACACTGCCTTGGGTGTGACACTGCCTTGGGTGTGTGACACACTGCCTTGGGTGTGACACACTGCCTTGGGTGTGACACACTGCCTTGGGTGTGTCACTGCCTTGAGAGTGACACACTGCCTTGGGTGTGTGACACACTGCCTTGGGTGTGGCACTGCCTTGGGTGTGACACACTGCCTTGGGTGTGACACACTGCCTTGGGTGTGTGACACACTGCCTTGGGTGTGGCACTGCCTTGGGTGTGACACACTGCCTTGGGTGTGACACACTGCCTTGGGTGTGACACACTGCCTTGGGTGTGTGACACACTGCCTTGGGTGTGGCACTGCCTTGGGTGTGACACACTGCCTTGGGTGTGACACACTGCCTTGGGTGTGACACACTGCCTTGGGTGTGACACTGCCTTGGACTGGCTTCCTTCTCTCGTTAACAGTCTTGAGCAGGTGGCGGAAATTCCACAGTCATATGGTGAGGCTGAGGCTTTGCACAGGGCAACCACCGCCAAATTCCCCACAGAGCCGCACTTATTATACCGACCCCGCATGCACGAAGGACCGAGTTGAAACCTGGCTTGGGAGTTGAACTTGCAACCTTCCAACTGTGAGCAGCGCACATTACCACGGTGCCGCGCCGCCGGGTTGATAATACGTTTCAGGGAAATATTGCAAAATATTATCAAAGGTTACGATCCAGATCACTGAAAAATATCGCCGTGCATGGTTAAAAGAAAAGATACCCACGCGTTACGCCGCATGACGGTGCATGAAAGAAAAATATCCAGGCTCGATTTTTCTAAAGAAAATGTTATTGCTTGGTAATAACTGCAGCCTGCAAAGGTGACATAACAGTCACCCAGTCTATTACATGTACACTGGCCTTTCAATGGTATCCAGTGACTCGCAGATATACAATAGGCCATCCTATAGAAAGTAAAAAATGTGTAACGTAAAAAAATATAATTTCAAATTGCTTTGAAAAACTCGATTGACATTTTGCGCACAAAGTTTTTATCCAATCCATTATTCTGCAACAAAGACGGCACGGTGACACAAGATGCACTGGCCATGTCCACAGAATCATGTTCACCTGTCCTTGCGGATTGCAGCAAAGCTCTGCTTTGTATTTGCTTTCGCAATGAAACGGTGAGGAAATACCGCGAGGGCACCGTTATTCTGCGTTGTAGTACCACGCGGTGACGTTAGATAAAAAAAAAGACAGATACAAGAGACGAAAATATGACCAAAATTTTTTTACTTCGGGGAAATAAATTCTTGCGGATTGAGTGTGGCATAATAATATTCATACCCCCCACGCTGAAGATTGCCAGCACGCTCGTCTTACAATGTGGCATACTTTGACAAACACCAGCGCCGGCAATGATGTAATATAAAAGTGGAGTACGAGTGTTCTGCGCAAGTGCTTTTTCTTTTGCAGTCGAACTGAAACGGTGCCACACCGTGTGGTTGGGAAGTGGGCGATAGCAAAGGGGGACCCCCCCCCCAGCACCAGTGAGGCGTGGTGAGCAGATTGACGACGTTGAGGGCAGGAGAAATTACGCGGCTTGCCGAAGCAGGCCGGATGGAGCACACAAAAGGCAGAGAGACTGAAT